GTTGAAGGGTCTTCTTTAAGAAGAAGCTAATGAACAAAAGAATCTGATGAACTAAATAGATCCAGAGACATTGATGCATGCAACAGACGATCATATTTCAGAGGAAAGAGGGAAGGGGGGTGGAGGGTGGGAAGAGATTAACCAAAGAAGTTATATGCATATATGCATAACCTATGGAGACAGTCAATAACAGGGTGAAGGCCCGGGAGCAAAGTGGAGGGGGTCATTTGCGGGGGGAAATGGTATACCTGTAATACTCTCAACAATAAAGATAAATTTAAAAAGTAAAAATAAATAAATAAATAAAAATAAAAAGCTTCTGCACAGTAAAGGAAACCATCAACAAAATGAAAAGGCCAACCAAATGGCAGAAGACATTTGCAAATCATATATCTGATGTTAGTATCCAAAATATATGAAGAACTCATACAATTCATTAATAAAAACAATCTGATTAAGAAATGGGAAGAGGGTCTAAGTAGACATTTTTCAAAAAAAGACACGGAGAAAGGAAACCCTTGTGCACTGTTGGTGGGAATGTAAATTGGTGCAGCCACTGTGGAAAACAGTATGGAGGTGCCTCAAAAAATTAAACATAGGACGACTATATGATCTAGTAAATTTCACTTATGGGTATTTATTCAAAAGAATCAAAAATGCTAACTCGAAAAAAATATCCTCTTGTTCATGGCGGGATTATTTACAAAACCAAGACATGGAAACAAGCTAAGCGTCCACTGACAGATAAATGGAGAATAAAAATGTGATATATATATATATATATGCATATTAGCCACAAAAAGAGGGAAATCTTGCCACTTGCAACAACATGGATGGACCTTGAGGGCATTATACTAAGTAAATTAGTCAGACAGAGAAAGACAAATACCATATGATCTCACTTATATATGGATTCTTAAAAAACAACACTAAACTAATATCAAACAAAACAACTTAACTCATTCAGAGAACAGATTAGTGGTTACCAGAGGTGGGAGGATGAGGGGTGAGTGAAATGGGTGAATGTGGTCAAAAGGTTTAAATTTCCAGTTATAAAATAAATAAGCCATGGGGATGTAATGTACAGCATGGTGACTATAGTTAATAATACTGAGCTATTTATTTGAAAGTTGCTAGAACAACAGATCTTAAAAGTTCTCATTGCAAGAAAAAATTTAACTACATGTGATGATGTAGACTTACTGTGGTGATCATTTCACAACATATACAATTATCAAACCATTATGTTGTACACCTGAAATTAATGTAATGGTATATGTCAATTACATCTCAATTTTTAAAAACCACAACAAAATTTCAGAGAGATCTAAGTCATGCCTGATAGGCCCTTATATATTTTTTTAATCCTCACTTGAGGATTTTTCTTTCTATTGCTTTTCAGAGAGAGTGGAAGGGGGAGAGAGAGAGAGAAAGAGATAGAAACATCAATGTGAGAGAGACACACTGATTGGTTATCTCCGGCTTGCCCACCGACCAGGGCCAGGGATCAAGCCTGCAACCGAGGTATGTGCCCTTGGCTGGATTTGAACCTGGGACCCTTCAGCCTGCAGGCTGATGCTCTAACCACTGAGCCAAGCTGGCTAGGGCCAGATGGGTCCTTTAAAGTAGCTACAAATCTTTTAAACATCCCAAGGGCATATCTGTAGGTCTTACGTTCAGTCTCTAAACCATTTTGAGTTAGCAGAGAGGTCTGCTAACAGCAGAGCTTCTATAATTTTGAGGGTTGTTGTGCTACAGCGGTCTCACAGAAGAGAGAAGAGCTCTTAAATGCGTGGACATGGATTTTGTGTAATAGAATGGATTAGAAATTGATACATAAGAAACACATGGCCACGGTACGGTAGCTCAGTTGGTTAGAGCATCGTCCTGATAGGCCAATGTTTCGGGTTTGATCCCCAGTCAAGGCACATACAAGACTCGACCAACGAATGCATAAATAAGTGGAACAACAAATTGATGTTTCTCTCTCTCTCCCCACCCCTTCCTCTCTCTCTCTCAAATCAATAAATAAAAATTAAGAAGAAGAAAAAAACACACACAAAGCTTTTAAAAATATCAACTTGAACTGGAAGGAACAAATGTAATATGAAATGAAAGAGGCTTTTGTACCTCCAAATTTCTATGAGCAAGTAACAGACTAAGAACTATTGAGACTGTTCATGGAAGTGGAAGGATGATTCAGGGTTGAACTGAGGTCCCAATGGATGGAAGCAAGAGCCATGGATAACTCCTAGGAGGTAAGAGTGGGTCCTAATAGCAAAACTAGAAACATATGCTAAGGCTGGATTTTGGAATTTCTAGGGACCAGTGATTGCTGTGTACTTCCTACCCTGCCTCTCCTTTTTGGGTAGGAGTGTCTAAAATAACAATAGCAGCAGCTTCCACTGACTCTCACTGTACATCCTGGCACTTTACAGGTGATGCCATTTATCATGAACTGCCTACCAACCTTAGTAGGTAATAACAACAATAGCTAATACATCTGTAGCATTTACTGTGTGCCAAGCAATACTGTAACATGCTTTCAACTTATTTAATTCTCACAACTTTATGAGGTAGGTAGTTTTCATTCGTGCTTTACAGATGAGGAAACTGAGACTCCCTTACCCCCTAGAGATTAGAAAGTTGTTCAAAGTCACACAGCTTGTTGTTATTGAGCAGAGACTTGACCCAGGGAGGTTCGGGAATATGCTAACACCTCTCTAGAAATATTACCCACACGAATTAACTCATTTCATCCACTCAAGCCCCATGAGAAAGATGGTAGTAGCATCTCCATCTTACAGATGAGGAAATAGATGTACTAAGTCACTGTGGCAGGACCAGGACTTGAACTGGGTCTGCCTCATTGCAGTGCCCTGTGCTTCACTATGGGGCTGCCTGGAAGGGGTGAAGACTCCCTGGGGTCCTGCCTGGGCCCACTCTCCTCACCTGCTTGTAGATGAGCTCAAAGGCTCCCGTGTCACAGTTTCGGTCCAGCCGCCGGTCAATGACCACGCGCAGTGTGTCGGATTGCACGCCAGCACAGAGCCGGGTGGTGACAGACGTGGAGGGCGCCATGGTGGGGCTGGCATTGATCTCGATCAACCAGGGCTGGAAGTTTTCACCAAACACAAAGTCAGCACCATAAAGCTCAAAGCTAGCCTTCCGGCACTGCACAGTGTCCTGGGAGGTCTGCAGAGCATGGATCACTGCGGCCTTCATGCCAGGCACAATGACATTGGCCCAAGCATTTGGGGCCCCCATGTCATGCAGGTGGGCCTGGAACTTCTGGCTCGACCACATGTTGTCTGAGGGCAGCAGCGGATGCCTATGACACGAATTCTCCAGGTGCTTCTGGATGGAGTTGTTGCACAGGTGCACTGAGCTGGGGCAGAGAACAGAAAGCTGAGGTCTGGACCCCTTTGGCCCTCCCACCCAAACCTGGGGAGGGCAGGCAAACCCTGGAGCCAGCAATGGGCCTCCATGGACCATTCAACTTGAGATGGGGTCCTGCTGAGGAAGACAAGGGCGAAGGCCTGGGCCCATGACATTTTTCTAGGGCCAGAACCAGTCTTATCTCAGGACCTCTTCTGAGGGCACTAACTATGGAGAACACAGTGTTAAGTGCTTTGGGCATAGTGTCGCTTAACCCTCCCAATGCCTGGAAGATAAGGTGGGTAAGAGTATGGGCCCTATAGTACTAAGACATGTGCTCAAGTCCTATCTTTACCACCGACTAGTCGTGAGATCTTAGACAAGTCATTTAACCTGAGTGCTCCTTTCACTCCACTGGGTTTTCATAAATGACTAATATGCATGATATGTTTAGCACCTGTCACGTACAAAGCACTCAATAGTTGACAGCTATAATTATGAGTTTCATATTACTGTTTCCATTCTTCAGATGTGGAAACAAGCTTAAGTAGGTTTTCACTTGACGAAAGTCACACAGCTCAGAAGCTGCAGATGGAATTTGAACCCAGGACTCAACCAGGTTTCCACTCATCCCACAAGTTAATGATGCAACTTGCCTTTTTCCTCTCAAATTTCTCCTGACCCCCCCTTACCATTCTCTCCATTCTTTTTTATTTTTCATATCACCTCTTAACCTATTAGATGATTTTACTTATGTCCATTGCTTGTCTGTTTCTCCCTGCTAGACTGTGAACTCATGAGAACTGGACTCTTGTTTTGTTTACCGCTGTGTCCCAAGTGTCTAGAACAGAGAATGGCACAGGGTACACACTCAGTAGACATCCGATGGGTGGAAGGATGTTGGGATGGATGGAGGTCTGCCTGCCTGCAGAATCTGTTTGGAGCCCAGTGTTGCACTAGAATTGCCTGTTCCTTGCCAGCTTCCCAACTAGACCGGGAACTCATGGGAGGTGAGTAGTGGGGCTCACTTATCCAGGTTCTTCAGAGAGAAAGGCTGCGTGGAAAAGCGGATGTAGCTGTCGCGATAGAACCACACAGTTAGTGGGTTCCAGTCGGTCACCAGGAACCACTGTCTCAGGTCAAACTTGGTGCCAAAGATGAGCAGAGGCCGCTCAATATACTTCTGCACAACCCACTTGCCATCCTTCATCATCATGGGGTTGCCATCCACCAGTTTCAGAATCTCCTCTAGGTGGTCCATGCACATGATGCCTAAGGGGGAAATGGAGTGGTCAGGGACCGAGGCAGGCTCAGGTTGGGAGAAGAGCTGGAGACCACAGACAGCTCACCATAAGCTTTTTCCTCCCCTTCTTTCTTTCCTTCTTTCTTTCTTTTAGAGAGGGAGGCCAGAAGAGAGAAACATCGATTTGTTGCTCCACTGATTTATGCATCATTGGTTGATTCCTGTATGTGTCCTGACCAGGGCATTGAACCCACAACCTTGGCCTAGAGGGATGGTGCTCTAACCAGCTGAGCTACCTGGCCAGGGCCAAGTAATGTTTTATTTCATGATCTGGGTGCTGTTTCCTCAACTGTGACAATTCATTGACTTGTATACTCACAATGTGAACCCTTTTCAATGAGGTATGTTACATATACATTTCAATTAAGTTTTTCTAAAAATGGAGAGATAATTTTTAAATTTGGTGCTAGGTACATGGGGATTCATTGTGTTATTCTTGGTAGTTTGTGTATTTTAAAAGTGCCTAGGTAAAAAAATTTTTTAAAAGATTAAAAAAAAGTAAAAAAGCAGATTTAGATGTACTGAAATAGGGTGATCTCCAAGATCTAAGAAAAAAGAAATATGCAAAGAATAAGTAATATTAATTCATATTGAAAAATATGGAAAAATGAGGCTATAGAATAGTACACATCTGTTTAAAATAAAATAAATCTCTCTCTCTCCAAATGTGTAGAAGGGAGTATAGAAAAAAACACACCAAAGGTTAACAGTAGTTATCTCAGTGTGATCAAGGGTGGCTTTTGCGTTTGTCTTTCTACTTTTCTGTATTGTCTAATTTTGTTAATATAATAAACACATATTTTCATACTTGAATAAAACCAACAAAACTATTCCCAAGGTATATAAAAAGAAAGACCAAAATGTTGGTTTTTGAAGTGACATTCCCAAGAGAGTGTCCCACAGTGTCTGGAGCTGTAACAGCTTCACTTGGACATGAACAAATTCATTCAAGGGCAGTATTTGGAGGGATCTGTCGAAAGTCTGTTTTCTACATCTCAGAAGTCCTTAACCAGTTTTTAAAGGCTGGGCTAAGGCACCACTCCAGCTTGCTGGCTCTCCTGTTCAGATTCCATTTACATTGGGCTGAACAGCCAGAGTAATAGCTAAAAATAATAGCGTTTATATAGCAGTTACAATGTAAAAGCACAGGATCTAAGTACTTTACATATATTGTACTCATCTAATCCTGTTGTGTAGGTATTATTGACTTCATTTTACCAATGATGAAAATGAGGCACGAGAGCTTAACTAACTTGCCCAAAGTTTTACAAATAGTTGGAGGCAGAGCTTGGGTTTAAACCCAGGGAGTCTGGCTCCCAGAATCCATACCCTTAACCACTATGCTATATACCTCACAAGGATGGACTGGTCAAATCCAAGAAGCCTCAGATGACAAGCACCTGCACATGCGTATCACCAGACCTACCTAAGGCATCAACCCAACTGTGAGGGCAGGAGAGGAGAAGCTGGCATCGTCACAGCAGCCAACGTTCATGGGATGATTACTCTGTGCCAGGCACCATGCTGAGCTTTAGACACACCATGCCTTGCAATCCTCACCTCATAGGAAGTATTATCATCTCTCATAGGTGAGGGAACTGAGGTTTAGAGAGGTGATATAACTTGCTCAAGGTCACATAGCATATTAATAGCAGAGCTGGGAATCAAATATAGGCAGTCTGACTCCAATAGAGCCTGCACTATGACAGCCCTGGCCTCTAGGTGGAGAGGTAGGCTGGTGCAGGAAGCAGGGGCTGACACCCACCTCGACCACGGGACTTGGCTCCTGGCTTCACGATCCAGACGTTGCGGTTTCCTTCCATGTCCATCTGGGGCACCACAGCCTGAAGCTGCTGCAAGATGTCCTCACAACGCTGGACCTGAGCTTTGAGGTGCCTGAGTTCTGCCCCCTCACTGTGGGGAGATGATGGGTCTTGGGCAGGGCTGGGCCTGGGGGCAGCCTGGTGGACAAGGCAAAGGGAGACACAAGCCTCCCTGGCCATGGTCCTACCAGCCTTGGTTATGCCCTCCCCTCCCCTAAAGATCTGGATAGGTCTCTTCCAAACCTCTGTGCCCACCCTCAAGCCGCCCCCCCAAATTCTAATCTGCCTAGGGCACCATCCCATACTGTTGGAATAGGAAAGGATGGGGAAATTTCACTTATTACCCCCCACACCGCCTCCAAAAACTCCATTTTCTGCCACCTCCCTTTCCATTACATTAAAATAGCCTTTGGCAGAATTTCATCATGCATCTCCTTGCTGGATTTCGCTTCTCTTCCTATCACCTACCACCTGACATCTACGCTGATTTGGTTATGTCTCTCTCTCTCCACTGGAATGTAAGCTCCGTAAGAGCAGGAACATTTTTGTAGCTGTTATTTTCTGTTGTGTTCCCACCCCCAAGCAGTGCATCTGGCACTTATTTGGCATGCCCTAAAAGTTTGCTAAATGAATGGTTGGATAAGCAAGTACTTTGGCAGGACCTTGCCTCTGTAACTGGTCTGCACAGATTGGGGTTCATGGACAAAGAGACCCTGTTCTCTACAGGACACAAAATGTCCTGAACTAAACCAAGTCACAAAATACCTCAGATGGCTGCCTCACCCGAATTCTCCCATTTCTTCTCTTCTGACTGAGTAGGAAGGAAGCCTCCACTAGATGTTAACCTCCCTTTAACATCTTAGCCTCTCGAATGTCTCCAGCAATGGAGAACTTATCTCTCTTTTAATAGGGAGGCAGCGGCAACCACAGGGGCAGTGCCAGGAACAGGGACGGCCAGATGGAAGAGGCGTAGCAGGGCCTCTTACTCACACCTGAATCCTGACCCTTTCTTTTCCCCGTTTACTGGAAACTTTTCCATGGGCCAGAGCACAAAGAATCTGCTCAGTAAATCTGTGATTTGGCCTGGAAAAGTGTTACATGAGGGTGGCAGGGGCATGTGTAATTTGAAAAAGTATGTTCAACATGACAGTATGACTTTATATTTAGCAAAAAGAAAAAAACCACCAGTGACTTAGTGGAAAGTCAACCTTTATAAAAGCCTGGCTGCTGAGTCATGGATTTGTTTCATGAAGTTTAGAAACAGACAACAGCAAGGTGATTACTAGAGGGGAAGGGGAGTAGTGGGGAGACAGAAGAGGACATTGCAGGGGGTGGAGTTGAGAAACAAAGCAGTTAATACTGAATGAATTAATGAATGCTATCTGTACTGAACTCAACACTATGTTATATGATGCAATATTTTATGAAATTCTGACTTTTGAGAGGTTCCTATAGCCCTCTGAAAGTTGTCTTACACCTGGAAATAAATAGGATTTATTCTTTTTACGTAATGTTCTAACTCAGTCTCAATAATTCTTAGTTTAAGAAGGGTGACTTTAGCCCTTGGCTCAGCAGCTGAGCATCGACCTAGGATCCAGGAGATCGAAGTTCGATTCCAGATCAGGGCACATGCCCGGGCTGCGGGCTCCATCCCCAGCAGGGGGTGTGTAGGAGGCAGCTGATAAATGACGACTCTCTCATCATTGATGTTTCTGTATCTCTCTCCCCCTCTCCCTTCCTCTCTCTCAAATCAATAAAGATATATTTATTAAAAAAAAAAAAAAAAAAAAAAA